CGAAAAAAATTATATAAAAAAATTACTTGACGTCATCGATTGGAAAAAGAAAATTTAGGATTAATAAGTTTGCAAGAAGAAAAATTTTTTTCTACAAAACAAACATATTAACATATACATATAGTCCCATGGAAAAATCCAAGTACAATGCCAAAAATTGATAGATTCTTAGACTAAAACTATTTCAAACATTCTTATAATTTTAATCATAATCTATTAGTTACTAATCAAAATATATAAAAATGTCTATAATAGTTGGGGTGTTTTTCTTTTTAATTATAATTTTAGTGATCATTTTATGTCTGTTGTTTCTGCGTTGGTTGAATGTACTAATCTATCTACCTACCTACCTACTTACTTACCTACCCGCCTATTATTATTATTACAAATACTATAACAATGTGTAGTAAAGTGAATAACAATTTCTTTCTTTTAACGTTTCACTCAGCTACACGTTTTTTGTGCTTTCGATTTGTCCAGAGGGAGAGAGAGAAAAAAAGAGAAAAAATAATATAAGGATATTTTTTAATAAAATAATTATAATTATTTTTATTAATAATTTCGACTTTTAGTTATGTAGATAATGAATAAACTTAACGACTTAGTGAATGAATGAATTGGGGAGATTTTACATTTGATATATATATATATATATATATATATATATATATATATATATATATATTTCCCTGTAGGTATGCATATGAATGAGAGAAAGAGAGAGTTATATATATATAATTCATGGAAAAGATAGAAATAATGAAAGATGAAGAGGAAACAACTTTAAGGCATGTAAACTTGGTAATTCACTGGGAATATATATATTTGTAGAAAAGAAAAAGGCTGTAAAATTAAATGTTTACACAGAGTGTTTGTAATGCAACTTACTGGTTAATATGATTTTTTCTATATTATGCGGTAGGTAAAACGTGATCATATGCAGACAGCCTATTTAGAAAAAGGGTAAGAAAGTTGGTGAATTAGACATTGTTGCATTCCTATCAATACCATCATCAGAATAAAAAAGGAGAAAAAATAGTGGAGGATTCGTAGTGAAAAGTAATAAAAATATACATATTCCTATATTTAAGCATAATGCAATCAATTAAATATGATTACGACAAATTACTTTGATTATTATTATTATTATTACTATTATTATTATTATTATTCCATCTACTTGGTAGAACAGTAGGCATTAAACTTAATCTGATTATTAAAAGAACCACATATTGAATAATTTAAAAATGTATTACTTCATTTAAACTAGTTAAGATATAATCACTTAATACAGTGTGACTAGGTAATATTTCTATATTTCTCTAACATGTCACTTTAATTATCCTCTTGAAAAGGTTATTTATCATAATATTCAAATAAGGAATGATTAAAGTAATTCAATAGAAAGTTAGTAGGTATCATTACCAAGGTATAACTTGATAATTTTGAATAAATTGAACATTGGGTAGATTGTTATAGATAAAAATAATATATTTTTAGTTATCCTAATGAGTAGAAAAACTGAGTGTAAGGCACTTCTGATTGATTATTTATTCTCTGAAGAAGTGTCTTTAGGGATTATAAACAAGTAAAAATCCTATTTATATTGCAGTTACATCCAGCGCACGAGTCCCAAATAGAACGAAACGTGAGTCCTTGATTCCACTGCTAGCCACTATCCATTTTTGTATATAATGCTTGTGAATTAGACTATATCGAGGCAATACGCATAGTTGCACATATCCCAATAAGATACTAGTCAATCGCAGTCCAAAACATCAATGTGAAGATTTAAGTAAACAATGCCAAGTGAATTTAACCCTGTTTATAGTTTACACTTTTCACTCTTGATCATGTATAACTAGAATAATCAGTATTTAATTGACTGAAATGAATATATTACTGATATACTTGTATAATTAATGAAATCTATCTGTTTTATGATTGAATTTCATGATTGTATTTCCATTACTGATGTTTGTTTTATCAATTACATTTTGAAATGAGATTTTCATTACTTCAAATATCATATAGAATAAATTATTATATACATAACAATACTTTTCAACATTTTTATTACTGAATGACATCATCTAGATAATAATTGAATATAATAGATGATTAGATATGTATCTGATCATAATTCAGGCTTTCTCAGGAGTGAACATCCATGACCTCACCAAGCAGTGAACGTAGAACTTTCAGGTCGCTCATGGGATATGATATCCTGATATCGCCAGGTCGAATTTCTGTGATTTCAAATTTCACTTCCAATCTCACTATGACACACTAATTATAAGCTTATGGTGCAAACGATAACTGTCTCACCTTTAACAAAATCGTATTCTATCAGTTAAAGATTATCAATAGAATTTCATAACTCCAAGGAGATGATTGTATAACGACAAAAAGTAAACTTATCCTAAATGCTCAACTAATCAATAGCTTTTCAAGTCAAACAAAAACCGTAATTCAAATCTACAATCTTTGTACTTTTTTTAGCTGTTTTGTTACTAAGTAAATTATATAATCACATACCATAATACAAAAGATGGGGAATAATTTGATAGGGCTACCGGTAAATAGTTTCAATTAGACAATATTTATTCAACTTTTAAGACTCCTGAAAGGTTTCAACGATTGTTAATTAATTTTACTGTAAGGCCCAGAGTAAATAAACCAGTGTTGTTGAAGAAACATATGTATCTGTAACGTAATGTACCGATACAAATTTTCTTCAAACAAGTTTAATTCTTTTGAAACTGAAATGTTCATTGTAAGGGGAATATTTTAAACAATCAATCAATCAAAAATGATATTTTTTAAAACATGATTTTCAATTTATGGTTCAGTGTGTTGCAAAAGTTAGTTTCAATCCATAGCGTGATTTTCATTACTGAAGGATATATGTAAGAGTACACCCTATACAAAACACTGTGTGGCTGTTTTGTCATACTTCGGGACTGTTCAGCAATATATACTTACAAATTAAAATTAATTTCGATAAAACCTTTCAATCATATTATGACTGAATTGAGACAATTTTCTGAGGTTCCATTAAGAAGTCAAGAACTGCGTCATTCTGTTAAGTCGAGAATGAGATGGTTACCACTGATGACACACTGTGACTTTTGCTTTTTATCATGAATTGATTGGTGTTGAGAATGTAAAGCAAGCACGTCTCAACATGACAATCAAAATTTAAGAAGCCTACTGTAATGCTACGTACGGTTGGTGGAAGAGGTTAAACGAAGACAGTTGAGGAATTCCAAATATAGACAAAATAGCTATCCATCGAATGCTACATTTACACTGTGTCGCAACCGATGTTAAGCCTAATTAAAAGCGACCATAACGTTCTCATTCGCTTATTTTTCAATCAGATTTGAGATCAGATATTCTATGATACAATAAACTTCTACGGATAACGCTTTGCTATCAATGTTCCTATACTAGTTAGTTAGTAGAAGCGTTTAATAACGAAAGTGTTGCAAAAGGTATTACTGAAAATAATGTACTTGAATCAAACAGTTTAAAATACATTTTGGAAATTACTCCAAACACGCTCGTTCCCAGCAATAAAATTATTATATAAGAACTTCCGTCAAAATTTGTTCGAATAATTTGACAGTATTTGGCACTGAGTTGATGTGAGACATTAAGGAGGAAAAGTGTATTTGTAAAATAGCAACGAATAAATTCAAAGTAAATCCAACGTTTCATTCACTATTCATCACTTCTGATCGGTGAATTTTTAATGAATGAATCAAATATGTCACAGCATGCGTGAACTAAACATAAATAAAAACAAAATAAAAATGTCGGAATGGGGATTTGTAGAGATTGTAGTAATTTTAATAGTTGATCCGTTAGTCGATTTTAAGCTAAACCGCCATTGAAAACCTGGAAGCACTGGATAGCCTTTCCGCCTTGACATGAGACTCCTCAGGAGCGCACATCCATGTATCCACACTAGGGACTCAAACTAAAGACCTTCGGTTTCACGCAAGAACGCTCAACCTCTAGACCACTGAGCCGGAAACCATTGGTGATAATATCTAACTTCCATCGATCCATTAATGGCTGCGCAACCGTTCATCCATTGTCTGAGGTAGATACCTGTCTCCACCCAACACGGTTTGGATGGATTCTGACCATAACTCTAGGAAATTCAACTTGAAGCTGATCATTAGTGAGTACATAATTATTATCAGAATGGCCCTACAGTCTTTCCAAGTTTTCCATGGCGGTCTAGCTATGGTCTATTCGTAGATTCAACTATTAAAATAAAAATGAATGAATGAATGTGTTACTTTTATTATTCCCGTTAATTGCTCATCATATTCAGATAAGACAACTGACTAGAAAAGTTGAATGTATTTCTTTTTATTAAACTAGTAAACGATAGATTAAATAAAATAAGGAGTTCAGGTTTACTTATTAATTATTAGCTGTCATGGGGCAGCTAATTGTACTCCATTTCTCCTACTAATACTGTATGGATTTGTCCATATGTGTAGGGCTTCGGCTGATAATCATTCTTTGTAAGAATTAAAACCCTTTTGAAGGAATTTTGTGTTATTTAAATCAATTGTATGACCCAATTCTATTGTGTGTAATGCTACTGATGATTTGCTTTAGACACGTTTTTCTATTATCTGAGGATTTAGGAATGTGTTTCAAGCAAGGTTTGTATTCTTCTACCCTAAAATTCAAATGTCTTACTAAATATGTAATTGAAGCAAATGAACATAATAAAACGTATCAAGAAACTTAGTTTTATCATGAGTATTATGCTCGAGTACAAACAGGTTGAAAATGAAATGTAAATAAATATATGTTTTTGTCAGATAAAACAAAATTTTTGATATTCTGTAAAATGTATAGATAGATAGATAGATAGATAGATAGATAGATAGATAGATAGATAGATAGATAGATAGATAGATAGATAGATAGATAGATAGATAGATAGTCCCATAAATAATATTGAAACTTACAACAGTTCTCGACATGTAATGTAGTCCATAAATCGGAACGATATTTAGATGTTGTCAAATGTTTTCTTTGTTGAAACCAAACATTTGGATAATATTGTTCCAATTCAGGTAAATATTGATTCTGTGAACTAACTTGTAAAGGATTGTTCATAAAATATGAACCTGATTGAAAGTGTATAGCTTCTGTCGGTTGATATGATTGTTGTCTATAATATTGTTTATGTAAATTATGCTCTTTTATTCTAGTTAAATTAGAATTATCCATTACATCCTTGATTTGATTATTCAATGATAAATTTGTATTTTGTTTATTTAAATGTTTAAAATTGATGATATGATAATCATTTAAATAATACTTATTATTTTTATTTATATGTAACATATAAGTATCCGGTAAACTGACTGTAATCTCTGAATGCATTTTATGGGATGGAATTGCAAATATATAAGATAATATAAAATACCAAATAAGATAATAATTACATAAAGAATACCTGTTAGGTTGACTATTTTGATATATATATATTAGATTATGATAATGAATCATAATGTTTAATAATTGAATATTATAAATTGTTTATATCTTGTCAACAGAATGAAGAACCTAACAACAACAAAAGAAACCCATTGACAACAATTATATTTATTCATTTCAATGAGTGAAGCGAATGAGGTTAGTTTTTTTGTTTTAATTTATATGAATCAAATGTTACACTCATATCACTCATAACAATGGATTTTGTATGGTTTTTCTTTTTCTGTATAGATTTTTGTATAAGTATCTTATATTTGCTTTTTGTAAATTACCATGCTTCATTTTGATGCATTCGAATATATATATATATATATATATATATATATATATATATATATTCTGGTGTAGATCTAAGCATTACTACTGTTGGCATATAAAAAAGTAAACATGTATTCATTGAACATGTCGATATATATATATATATATATATATATATATATATATATAACGTTTGTGTGTGTGTTTTCCTTCAGTTGATGTTCTAAAGCGTATAGTTATGTATATGCATGTATTTATAAAGAGGGATGGAGTTAAGGGAGAGAATGATTAAGACTGGACAAGTCATAGTAACTACCTTAATTCGGTTATTAATAAATTGTTTTTCCTCCTTATACATTATGTATAGATATAAATGTACAAAAGTACCCAGTAACTAACAATGTGTGTGGTAAAAAGGAAAAAAAGGAAATTTATTGGGAAAAGCATAAAATACTGAGGGTATTTCACACCATTAATAAAAGCAAAGACGCAAAACATTCAGTTGAATAGATAAATATTCAATGCAACTTGAACTTTGTTGATTATTATTATTTAATGTAATCTTTGTTAGGAAAATAACTAACACACATACACACACACAATTTATACATAAGTTAATTTATTTCATAAGTTTGATCTAAGAGATAATTGTTTTGTTTGTTTTTATTTCTTTTTATGTTCTGGATGTACCATTGAAAGATATTATCATTGACTTGTTTACAATATTTGGATTGACAAATCATTGTAATCCTTTTGAATAATACATAAGTTAACTGGGGGGGGGGGGGGGCTTTAGTAAATAATGAAATAATTTTATAAATACAAAATTTATTTCACAGGTTGAAATCACGAGTCAATTGAAGCTAGACCACTATGGAAAACCTGGAAGCACTGGACGGCCGTTTCGTCGTAGTATGGGACTCCTCAGCAGTGCGCACTCACGATCCCGTACCCCGCGGGATTCGAACCCAGGATCGTACATGCGCACTGCTGTGGAGTGCCATACTAGAACAAAACGGTTGTCCAGTGCTTCCAAGATTTCAGTGGTGGTCGAACATTGATTGGTTCATAAGCTCAATGGAAATATAATAGATTTATTCAGAAATATACTTGATAACAGTATATTCATTATGAACAATTATTATACTGATTTTTCTACAAATGTTTCGAACATAAATATTATACTTACAAGGTTAAGTGAACTCACAGAAGCCTGCTCAAGCGTTTTGGTCACCTATTGTTTTACCTGTGTTATTATACAATAAACCTTCATGTTTAAGATTTATCTAAAGCGAACAATTATGATACATGTTTGTGTGTACTTACGCGGTACTATCCAAGACTTAAAATCTATCACAATGCTAAATACTGAAAATCTCATAATGAAACACTGCACTTGTTGGGATATTTTCCTTTTTGTTTAACCTTTGAAAAGTGGAAGAAAAATTTATCGGATTATATTTATTTAATATCTGATGAGTGGTAAAAATATAGTCAAAGAACAGAAACTGACTACGAATTTTCTCTATTGAAGATAAGCCGAAAAGCATAATTTTTGAATAGTCATATTATGAATCTAACTCCTCCTGTAGGTCTTATAGGGTTACTGCCGGTCCCAAGCCCGGGTAAAGGAGGAGGGTTGGGCATGAGGTTAGTGTCCACATCCCGTAGAAAACTAACTCGCTAAAAAAACGCCTACCAGGAAAAAACTATTCAAACCTTTTAACGTCTGCCCTGGGAGTTAGAAGGTCTTCAGTTAGAAGAATTATGACGCTTCATGGTGAAAGCCGAGTTCCTTCGGAAGCCACGAGGCCGATGCCCCTTCTAACAACCAGAGCAAACATTTTTATAGGTACATGGAACGTTCGAACAATGTGGGAAACCGGGAAGACCAGTCAAATAGCAATGGAAATGAGGAGATACAACTTAGCAGTACTGGGAATCAGCGAAACCCACTGGACCCAAGCTGGACAGAAAAAGCTAGCTACGGGAGAGATGCTGCTATACTCCGGTCATGAAGAGGACAATGCTCCACACACCCAGAGAGTCGCTCTTATGCTGTCCAAAGTAGCACGAAATGCACTTGTAGGATGGGAATCTCACGGATCCAGAATCATCAAAGCATCATTCAAAACAAAGAAGGAGGGGATCTTAATGAATATTATCCGATGTTATGCACCCACAAATGATAGCAACGACGACATCAAAGATCAGTTCTACGAGCGGCTGCAGTCAGTCATTGAGAAATGCCCAAGAAAGGACCTAACTATTCTGATGGGAGATCTAAATGCCAAAGTCGGAATAAACAACACTGGATATGAAGCACTACAAAGGTTCAATACAGCCTTCCTTCGAGATACTGATAAACTCAATGAATTTAAGATAGCTCTCAACAACAGGTCCCAAGCCTTACAAGATCTACTGAAAGAAGAAGAAACTAGTATGGAGGACAACTGGAAAGGCATCAAGGAAGCATTAACTTCAACGTGTCAAGAGGTTCTGGGTCTAAAGAAATACCATCATAAGGAATGGATCTCTACAGAAACACTGGACAAGATCAAAGAAAGGAAGAACAAGAAGGCAGCAATAAACAACAGCCGAACACGAGCAGAGAAAGTCCAAGCACAAGCTGAATACATAGAAGCAAACAAACAAGTCAAGAGGAGCATTAGAGCCGACAAGAAGAAATACGTGGAGGAACTAGCAACGACGGCAGAAAAAGCTGCTAGAGAAGGAAATATGAAATAGCTTCACGATACAACGAAGAAACTAGCAGGGAAATACAGTAAACCAGAGAGGCCGGTCAAAGACAAAGAAGGCAAGCCAATCACCGAAATCCAACAACAGCGGAACAGATGGGTAGAATACTTCGAGGAACTCCTGAATAGGCCGGCTCCAATGAATCCACCGGACATCGAAGCAGCGCACATAGATCTTCCTATAGATGTCAACCCGCCAACGACGGAAGAAATTAGAATGGCCGTCAGACAAATCAAGAACGGGAAAGCAGCAGGACCTGACAACATACCAGCTAAAGCACTGAAATCAGACATCGAAGCAACCACAAGCATGCTTTACCTTCTATTCAAAAAGATTTGGGAGGAGGAACAAATGTCGATGGACTGGAAAGAAGGACACCTCGTCAAGATTCCAAAGAAAGGAGATCTGAGAAAATCTGAAAACTACAGAGGCCTTACACTGCTGTCAATACCAGGGAAGGTCTTCAACAGAGTGTTGCTGAACCAGATGAAGGATGCAGTAGACGCCCAACTTCGAGATCAACAAGCTGGATTCCGTAAGGATCGATCGTGCACAGACCAAATTGCAACACTACGGATCATCATCGAACAATCAGTTGAGTGGAACTCATCACTATACATCAACTTCATTGATTATGAAAAAGCATTCGACAGTGTAGATAGGAGGATATTATGGAAACTTCTTCGACACTACAGAGTTCCTGAGATTTTCAACATTATCCGGAACTCATACGACGGACTACAGTGCAAAGTCGTGCATGGAGGACAGCTGACAGATGCATTCCGAGTAAGGACCGGAGTCAGACAAGGCGGTTTGCTCTCTCCCTTCATCTTTCTTCTGGTGGTCAACTGGATTATGAAGACCTCGACATCTGAAGGAAAACACGGAATTCAATGGACAGCTCGAAATCAATTAGACGATTTGGACTTCGCAGATGACCTAGCCCTCCTATCACGTACACACGAACAGATGCAGATGAAGACAGCCAGTGTAGCAGCAGTCTCTGCATCAGTAGGCCTCAGCATACACAAAAGGAAAACCAAAGTCCTCAAATTCAAAGTGGAAAACAATAATCCAATCACTCTTGATGGCGAAACTCTGGAAAATGTATAGTCCTTCACATACCTAGGAAGCATCATCGATGAACAAGGAGTTTCAGATGCAGACGTAAAGGCAAGGATTGGCAAAGCAAGGACAGCATTTTAACAGTTAAAGAACATATGGAACTCAAAACAACTTTCAACCAATATCAAAGCGAGAATCTTCAATACCAACGTCAAGGCAGTTCTACTGTATGGAGCTGAAATTTGGAGAACTACAACAACCACAATCAAGAAAGTACAAGTATTTATAAATAGCTGTCTACGCAAGATACTCAACATCCATTGGCCAAATACCATCAGTAACATCCTTCTCTGGGAGAGAACAAACCAACTTCCAGCTGAAGAAGAAATTCGGAAAAGACGATGGAAATTGATAGGACATACATTACGCAAATCGTCAAACTGCATCACGAGACAAGCCCTAACTTGGAATCCTGAAGGGAAGCGAAAAAGAGGAAGGCAAAAGAACACATTGCGTCGGATAATAGAAGCAGATATGAAAACGATGAATTACAACTGGACGGAGCTGGAAAGGATTGCCCAGGACAGGGGTGGATGGAGAATGCTGGTGAGCGGCCTATGCTCCTTCACGAGGAGTAACAGGCGTAAGTAAGTAAGTAAGTAATATTATGAATCTATGTTAAAGAGAAATTTCTCGTAATATTGCATAAATAATGTTGAGAATTCTTTATAGTAACAACATTTCTATTAATCAGTGAAGGTATTGTTATTGTAGTTAAGCGTATCAGTTGACTCTTTTATATTTAAGAATGAAGTGATGTTTAATCATGTTGTGAATGTATTTTGTAGAATTTACAAACTCTCTGGCTTCTTTCATTTTGTATTGTTTGTTTGAATATTCCCATTGATGTTTAGGACTAATTGATCAGTCTCTTATTACATAAGCTAGTGACTATTAGAATGCAGTAGCTAAGTGAATAACGTGATGGAGTTTTAAGTGAACGGTAATGAGTTTGAGTTCCGGAGTGAACACTAACTTTGAGAGGAAGGTTCATCCAACTGACCAGCCCTGAACAGAACAAATCGCGCGTCCCAGATTTCTCTGTTAGTCACCATTCTTCTTTTAGATGAACTTCTTCAAACTAATAGTCGTAATCAAGAAGTCCAGACAAGTTTGCTGGATGAAACGTTGGAATTGGTTAAATTT